GGGGGAGATGGGCAGGGACAAATTTAATAAATAAATAAACTCTCCCTAACAGGGAGTGGGTTACTCTAAACAGGGCTGATAGGCAGCTATCGGCAGATGCAATAAGGGTGGAGAAATAACATTTCACCACCTTTATTGACATGATGTAGGCCAGAATATGGCCTCTCCCTTGTGTTTGGTCAGATTTATCTTTGTCTTTCTCCAGTTGTGTTTCAGACATCACTTCTGGCACTTCATCTCCTGGAGCTCCGTGGAAAACCGAGGTATACCCTGGGATCAATGTTCAGAGAGTGGCTCCATAGACACAATCTGGTCAAGGGCCTGTCACCTGCCTATTCCAGGCTGTAACCAAGGCCTCTGCTGACTTGCCTCAGGGAAAACCCAATATGTGTTTGCCCCTTTATTATTTGGCCATGAACTCCTGAGCCACTCCGGACTTAATGTCACCAGGTGGTGGGTTAAAGTCCCCAAGGACCATCAGCCTCAGGGACTTCACTGCAACAGAATCCAGCAGGGATGCTGCAGCATAGCAAAGAGGATTGTACAGCAGCAGCAATCTCAATTGTTCCCAAAGGCCCAACTTCAACCAGAGGGTCTCACATCTGGTTATCTGCAGAGCAGAGCCTCTAAGCACTCTCAGCAACTTACAGATGACAATAGCTATCCCACACACTCCTCCACATTATCGCAGGTACAGTGGCCTGTGAAATAAGACTGATCTCAACTCTGAAGAATTGTCTTCAGTATTTTTAAAAGAGAAATTATTCTGAAGGTTTTAGAAAATTGCATATTCAAGTCCAGTAATTAAAAGTGAGGTTTTTTAAATTGCCTGACAGCCCTAATAAAAATATTTTTGGTATTCTAAAACTCACAATGTGAAAACCTAACAAAAGGTATCAAGTTGGATGGACATTGCCATTCTGTTCGTTTATTTTCTTTCTGAAACTCACAGAAATTGGTTGCAAGGGGGAAGGAAGAAAGTAGCATTGAACTTCCAGTGGATCCAGATCCATTTTGTTATTGAAATATACTTTTGAATATAACCCCTTGATTTTTATTTTACAAATAAAAATTTATATATTTTTTCAGCCAAATGGATCGGATCTCAAGGGCTTCTTGGGACAGCAAATATCGTTTGTTTTGCACGCATGGATAAGGTC